AAGCTTAGCAGACATCATTCTAGACTCAATTCAGTACGCTATGCCAAATTTCGTGCCAATCGATAGATATATAGGGACTTTATGTACCATTTACATAAAATATGACAAAACTATATATATATTAGCTATATCTAAATCGGAACCGATTTTCACGAAAATAAACACACATTATTCTAGGCTCAATTCAGTACGCTATGCAAAATTTCGGGACTTTGGTGCAACATTTACATAAAATCGGACAAGACTATATATAGGAGCTATATCTAAATCTGAACCAATTTTCACGAAACTCAGCACACATCATTCTAGACTTAATTGAGTATGCTATGCCAAATTTCGTGTAAATCGAAATATATATATACATATATATATATGGGACATTGGTACACCATTTACATAAAATCGGAAAATATATATATATATATATATATATCTAAATCTGAACCGATTTTCACGAAACTTTGCACACACCATTCCAGCATCAATTCAGTACGCTATGCCAAATTTCGTGCAAATCGGATGATATATGTGGAAATTGGTGCACCATTTACATTAAATCGGACGAAAATATATATTGGAGCTATATCTAAATCTGGACCGATTTTCACCAAACTTAACACACATCATTCTAGGCTCACTTCAATACGTTATACCAAATTTCAGGCAAATCGAAATATATATAGAGACTTTGGTGCTCCATTTACGTTAAATCGGACAAAAATATATATGGGAGCTATATCTAAATCTGAACCGATTTTTCCCAATTTCAATAGGGCTCGTCCTTGGGCCAAATATGTGAACTGTACCAAATTTCATCCAAATCGGATCATAAATGCGACCTGTACGTCGTTCTCAAAAATACATGGACGGACAGAGGGACGTGTAGGCAGACACGCGTAAATCGACTCAGAAAGTGATTCTATGCATATTCGCAAAAGGAACCATGTGTCTATCTCTTTTCCTTTTGCCTGTTACAAACATATACACAAATACATAATACCCTGTACCACAGTGTGGTGAAGGTTATAAAAAAACATGATCATAGCTTGGTTGTGTCTTTGGCCCTCTATTGGTATCTGAAATCATTATTACACAGAGATGCAGATCATTGCTATTTATTTATAGTTTATCCGCCAGGTGGCGTTTCTGATCGCCAATATGATTCCCAATTCTGTTCACGATCACATCCATAGAATTCTGTTCTGTTACATCTGGTTTCAAATTAAAATCCACATAATGCTAAATTTATATTTCAAATAAACAATTGACGTATGCATATAAGAAGTAATTTTCGCCGAAAAATATCTCCTTTTACAGACAGAAAAATACAAATAAATAATTCAGAATTTTTTATAATTTATTTTATAGCGGTATATCAGGTGGTCTTTCAAAAACTCGTTCGTAATCCAGCCTACAAAATTTAAATTAGATCAAGTAAATTTTGATATTCCATTTTTTGTTGATATAAAAACCTGCAAAATTTCATTGTTCGGCAAACAGAACAATTTTGTAATTCGAACAAAAAAGTGTTTACAAAAATTGTTTTAATTACGATGAAATATCTTGGATTTTTGACAATTGTTTTTGCTTTTATGGCAATTGTTGCTGTGACTTCGGCTGCCGATTATGAACCACTCGATGACTTAATTCGCGAAAAGCGTGGAGGGTATGGCGGCAGTGGCGGTAGTCAAGGTGGTTTTGGAGGTGGTAACCTTGGTGGAGGTGGTTATGGCGGTGGCAGTCAAGGAGGATTTGGAGGTGGCAATCAAGGTGGATTCGGAGGTGGCAATCAAGGTGGATTTGGTGGTGGCCGTGGAGGTGGTGGTTATGGCGGCGGCGGTCGTGGTTACAATGGTTAAATAGAATGAAAGATGGCATACAATTGAATCTAAAACAGGAGTAATTTTTTAAGAGAATTACGAAAAAATTAATAAATAAATAAAATAAAAACGAAATATATGTTCGGACTACGGATTTGGAAAAAATAATTCTTATTTGTTAAACATTTTTTGCATTTAAAATAAAAACCTGGGCTTTAAAATCTGTCCTGTTTTTTTTAATGCAAGGGCGGATTGTTAAAAACAATTTTTTACAGGTTCTTCAAACTTGTGTGCAATTTTAAAAATATTATTCTACTGTCTTTTCTAAGGTCTGGATATAAGCGTGGATTTAAAAAAAATACTTTTGTAAGGTCTGGATATAGGCGTTGATTTTAAAAAAATAAGGCCAGGATATAAACGACGATTTTTAAAAAATATATTTTAAAGCTTGGATATGGGCGCAGATTTGTTTAAAAATATTTTTCTAGGGCCTGGATTTGGTCGTGGATTTATTTGAAAATATTGCGCATTTTTAAAAGAAATATTTTTCTAAGGCCTGGATTTGGGCGTGGTATTAAAAGAATAGGGCGGATTTTCAAAAAACATTCTTGTAGGATCTTGATACTTGCGTGCAATTTTAAAAATATTTTTCTAGGACCTGGATATTTAAACAAAATATTTTATGACCTGAATAAGAGAGGATTTTCCTCTCTTGGATTTGGGCGTGGATTTCTTTAAAACATATTTTCTAAGGCCTGGATATAGGCGTAGACTTAACAATGACATGGCGGATAAAAAAATATTTTTATAAAGTGGCTATGGCGATGATTAAACAAAATTTTATAAAGTGGCTTTAGTGTCTACAGGCCACTTTATGAATAACGCCTATACACGCATGGGTATAGGCATGTATTTATACCCTTCACCACACTGTGGTACAGGGTATTATGTCTTTGCGTATATGTTTGTAACAGGCAAACGGAAACAAATAGACACATGGTTCCTTTTGAGAATATGCATAGAATCACTTTCTAAGTCGATTTATGCATGTCCGTCCGTGCGGCCGCCTGTCCGTCTGTCCATGTTAAATTGTAAAAAAAGTACATTTATGATTGGATGAAATTGGGCACAGCTCATTTATTTGGTCCAAGGACGAATCCTATTTAAATTGGGAAAAATCGGTTCAGATTTAGATATAGCTCCCATATATATTTTCGTCCGATTTAAGGTAAATTGTGTACCAAAGTCCCTAAATATCTTTCGATTTGCACGAAATTTGGCATAATGTACTGAATTAGTCCGAGAATGGCGTACGTGAAGTTTCGTAGAAATCGGTTGAGATTTAGATATATCTCCCATATATAGTTTCCTCCGATTTTTTGCAAATGGTGTACCAAAGTCCTTATTTATCTTTCGATTTGCACAAAATTTGGCACAGCGTACGGAATTAAGTCTGGAATGATGTGTGCTAAGTTTCGTAATAATCGGTTCAGATTTAGATATAGGTCCCATATATAGTTTCGTCCGATTTTATGTAAATGGAGCACCAAAGTCCATATATTTCGATTTGCACGAAATTTGGCATAGAGTACTCAATTCAATCTAGAATGATGTTTGTTGAGTTTCGTGGAAATCGGTCCAGATTTAGATATAGCTCTCATATATAGTTTCGTCCGATTTTATGGAAATGGTGCACCAAAGTCCCTATATATATTTTTCGATTTGAAGGCATTTTGGTATAGCATACTAAATTAAGTCTAGAACGGTGTGTGTTAAATTTCGTAAAAATCGTTTCAGATTTAGATATCACTCCAATATATATTTTCGTCCGATTTAAGGTAAATGGTGTACCAAAATCCCTAAATATCTTTCGATTTGCACGAAATTTGGCATAATGTATTGAATTAGTCCTAGAATGACGTACGTGAAGTTTCTTAGAAATCGGTTGAGATTTAGGTATATCTCCCATATATAGTTTCCTCCGATTTTGTGCAAATGGTGTCCCAAAGTCCTTATATATCTTTCGATTTGCACGAAATTTGGCACAGCGTACGGAATTAAGTCTGGAATGATGTGTGCTAAATTTCGTGATAATCGGTTCAGATTTAGATATAGCTCCCATATATAGTTTCGTCCGATTTCATGTAAAAGGTGCACCGAAGCCCCTAAATATATTTCGATTTGCACGAAATTTGGTATAGCGTACTGAATTGAGCCTAGAATGCTGTGTGTTTAGTTTCGTGAAAATCGGTTCCGATTTAGATATAGCTCTCATATATAATTTCGTCCGATTTTATGGAAATGGTGCACCAAAGTCCCTATATATCTTTTGATTTGCACGCATTTTGGTATAGCGTACTGAATTGAGCCTAGAATGCTGTGTGTTTAGTTTCGTGAAAATCGGTTCAGATTTAGATATAGCTCCCATATATATTTTCCTTCGATTTTATGTAAAGTGTGCACTAAAGACCCAAAGTTTTTACGATTGACATATAATTTTGTTGAAATCGATTCAGATTTCGATATAGTTCCCATTTGTACGTTCGTTGTAGTTTAGGTAAATGTTGCACCGGTTTGCACGAAACTTATCAATGGTCCTGTTGAATACACCCAAAGTTGTGAAGGGTATCATAAAGTCGGACCTGTCCGACTTTACTACTTTCCTTACTGGTTTAAGACATATTTTTGTAAGGTATGGATATGGACGAGGATTTCTAAAAATATTTCTGTATAGCTTCTATATAAAAATCCCATCGATTTTAGATATTTTGAATGCCCACCAAATGATAAAAGTTATAATTACCCAGAATCTACGAGAATTACTTAAATGTTTTTTTAAAATAATCATCTCAGGTCATTGGTTAAAAGTTGGGATTTTTTTGTTTACAAAAATCCAGAAAAAAAATAAACAAATCAACACCAGATGGAAAATTACAAAATTATTTTGACAATTAATTAATTGCAATATAATATATTAGAAATATTTATGGGTCATTTACTGGTATATCAAGATTTAATTTGTTTACTGTTTGTTTACAAACGTTTTACAATTAAAAGACAAATTATTTAATTCAGTATATAAGGACTGTTAAATTTCAATTGAGCATCATCATCACCGAAATTCGTAATATTCAAGTATTACTTGACAGCAGCTTGTAAACAATTCAAAATCGCGACAAAATGAAATTTATTTTATTTGCATCCTTGTTCTGTGCTTTGCTTGTCCTGATCGCCGCCAGTGAAGTGGATGTGAATGATGCTGATCAGGGATTAGTTCGTGAGAAACGTCAATTTGGATATGGCGGCTTTGGTAGAGGCTATGGTGGTGGTTTTGGACGTGGCTTTGGATACGGTGGCCTTGGAGGTGGCTATGGCGGCTTTGGTCGTGGCTTTGGATACGGTCGATACGGTGGTTTAGGATATGGTCCTTATGGTGGTTTTGGCTATGGTCGTTGATTCTATGCTTAACGATATGTTACCAAATAAACAATAATATATCCGAATATTTTTGGGTTTATTTAAAACAACGTGGAAGGACGATAAGATTATAAAATTTAATTTTTTTTTTAAAACATTTTTTAGGCCTGGATATAGGAGTGGATTTTTTTAAAATATGTTTTGGGCCTGGGTATAGGCGAGGCTTTTTTAAGAAGTATTTTTTTTGGGGATCTAAAGGGGCGCGGATTTTTAAAAAAATGCATTTTTTGGATTTTTAGGGATCTAAAAGGCTTCCGTTTGATTCAGAATTAAAATAATTGTAAAGATTATGTAAAATTTAAAAGGATTTTATATTCCTGATTATACTATTTGAATATATATGTGCACATACTCATCAAAGGAAATTAATCTACTTGTTTATAATTATTTTTAAATATTTTTTGTTTCTTTTTATTGACAACTGAATTGTGACGATATTTGCAAATGAAACATTGCTTAATACATTTTTAACGTTTAATATAATTAATTGTGCTGGGTGTTATTCCATACAAAAACAAAGTCTAGTTTGTGGTTAACAATTCCAAAAAATCATTTGCTGAAAAAATTAAATAATAAACTGCAAGAAAAAAAATCGTTTAAATATAGATTAGATAAAGTTTGACCTTCAACTTTGAGAGATTTGTTAGAGAGTTGTTGGAGAGATTGAGAGATGGACTTTTAAAGTACCAGCAATCATTCGGGACCTTCGTTAGGAAATTTTACATCCAATGATAATCTACATAATTAAAGAGAATTCCCCAAAATATCGAATAATGTGGGTATTGTTATATGTGTTCTTGAACATAGAGCTTTGAAATTTTTGCACATAAATTGTTATTTCTCCTAGGATGTTTGGTATTGACAATATGGTATATTGGTCCAGGTGAGCCCCCATATTACGGTACTTATCAATATTCGGAATTTTGAATTTTTTGTTACGTTTTTCAGCCTTATCAGCTATAATTTGGTATTTTGAGGTTTTACTGGGCAGAAAATCTTCTACCCAGTAACGGCACTCCCAAATAATTGGTATTTTGGGGCACGTTTTTCAACCTAATCAGCTTTCATTGGGTAGAAAATCTTTCTACTAAAAATTATGAATATTTTCCACTGCTTATGGTATTCCCCTAAGCTAGTTATATCCCCAATTTAGGTGTTTTGCGGAGATTGGGAGATTGCATTTTAATTGTGTAGAAAATTTTCCTAACCAAAATTATCAATATTGGACCAAATTTCTGGGTAGTCCCCCATTTTTCGGGTTTTTATGGGCTATGCATGTTCAATCGGCTTCAATGTGTTTTTTCATGTTCTCATTTTCGATATTTTGAAGACTTTGGCTGCATTTTCCCACCGAGGGTGGTGTAATTTGGCATAAAGGGTTCGTGAAGGTTGACATTTTATTCTGATCAAGAATATATATATATATACACCAGCGAATATTTCGATGTGTTGCAAACGAAATGACAAATTAATTATACACTCCTCCTTGTAGCGCAGGGTATAAAAATTGACCACAAAATGTAAACATTAACAAAAACAATATTGTTATTCAAAAAGTATCTTTCATTATCAGTAATTGACTTTGTCAGATATTATTTAATTCAAAATAAAATCTATTTTGCGGTTAAAAAATATATATATATATATATATATATATAAAAACAACAACAAATGGTTAACAGCAAATTTCGCTTAATTGATAATTAATATACAAACATATAGGTTAGTCATCAAAATTTTGTTTGAATATTTTTATACCCTTCACCACACTGTGGTACAGGGTATTATGTCTTTGTGCATATGTTTGTAACAGGACAAAAGGAAACGAGATAGACCCATAGTTGCTTTTAAGAATATGCATAGAATCACTTTCTATGTCGATCCGAATTGGATGAAATTTGGCACAGCTCATTTATTTGGCCCAAGGAGGAACTGTATTGAAATTGGGAAAAATCGGTTCAGATTTAGATATAGCTGCCATATATATTATCGTCCGATTTAATGTAAATGGTGTACTAATGTCTCTATACATCTATAGATTTGCACGAAATTTGGCATGTAGTACTGACTTGAGTCTAGAACGATGTGTCTTAAGTTTCGTGGCTCCAATATGTATTTTCGTCCGATTTTGTGTAAATTGTGCACTAAAGACCCAAAGTCCGTCCGATGTACTGAAGTTAATATAAATTAATCTCTGGTAAGTTTCGTTAAAATTGGCGTTAGTCGCCTCACTTATAGATAAAGATCACATATACATATGTAGAATATACCGAAAGTGGTGAAGTGGTATAATATAGTCGGCTCCATCCGACTTTACTACTTCGATAACTGGTTTTACTCTGTATTCGCTTTAAAATGCTGTAAATTTTATTTTCCTTGATACAGTTTTTAAGTGGGATGCTGACTTAATGTATTGAAACTCTCAACTGCATATATCCACATCCCCACATATCCATTATTGTCTGCAATTCTTGAAAATCAAAATATTGCCAGACAATGGTGTTATTTATAAAATATATTAATAATATGTAAATAAATGTGTATTAGGTTGTATTGCTAAAAATGTGTTTTTTCCTTCTCTTTTTTTATAAATAGTTGCACTAAGACAATATATTTTTGCGTATGTTAAGTCAGTTAGAGAAATTTGTAAAAATGATTTGGAGTTCATATTTATAAAATTTTTGGCACAAGTGTGGGTCCATACTTAACAGGAGATTTTCAGCTCAACAAGGGATATACACATATTGCGAGGTAATATATAATTATTCAAATTTATATTATGTCTTAAAATAATTTTTTTTATTATTTTTACTGTAAAAATAATAATATATATAATTTATTTAATTAAATGTTTTTGTCATTCCAACCTAATAAAACCGCAACCATTGTTTAATGCGAAAATTAACAGAATCACAAAAAAATCACCCAACACTCTTAAAGACAACAACAAAACTTTTATTATTAATTTAGTTTTAAGTATTCGACGTATTTCGCAAAAAAAAAAACACATGGAAACAAATATTTTTTATTCTGGGTAAACAAAGTGTATGGAATATTACAGTTATTGTGTTATCCATAAAAAAACAATCATATTCGATACAAATTGCATTGAATTGATTTGAATTTTCGTCATCATACCATTCCAGTTATTTCTGTACAAAAAAATCAATTTTTAGCGAATTAGGTTGGAAAACGCGTCCAAAACCTCAAAATATTGAAAATTGGCGTACCTTTATAAGGGGGCTATCATCGCCCAGACGAACGGCTGAAGCTTGAAATTTTGAGTGTGGATTGTTTTTGGTGTGTAGGCGTGAGATAAGGCTGGGTTTTAGAAATTCGAACTAAAATGTACGAAAAGTACTAAAATGTACTAAATATGGTACCCTTTGAATTAAATTTTGAAATTATAAATTATATATGGAATAAAGATTGGGAAGTGGTGTCCGATGTATGGAAATGGTTTTAGAAATTTGTACTTATGTGTATGAAAAGTATTAAATTTTTATACCCTTCACCACACTGTGGTACAGGGTATTATGTCTTTGTGCATATGTTTGTAACAGGCAAAAATAATCGAGATAGACCCCTTGGTTCCTTTTGAGAATATGCATAGAATCACTTTCTGAGTCGATTTATGCATGTCCGTCTGTCCGTCCGTCCATGTATTTTTGTTAACAAAGTACAGGTAGCATTTATGATCCGATCTGGATGAAATTTGGCACAGGTCACTTAATTGGCCCAAGGACGAACCCTATTGAAATTGGAGAAAATCGGTCCACGTTTAGGCATAGCTCCCATATAAGGGTACCCCCCAATTTTCGGTATTTTGGGGTTCTTGAGCGCGTTTTTGAACCGAATACGCTGAAATTTGGTACATTGGGTTCTTATTGGGTACTAAATGTCCCCATTTGTTATTTTGTATTTTGGGGTTCTTGAACGCGTTTTTCAACCAAATTCTTTGTAATTTGGTTTTTTGTAGTCATATATGATAACAAACCTCCCTCCTAAAAATTACTAATATTCGCCTCCTTTTAGGGGTGGTCCCCTTATAACCACATTTTTATACCCTTCACCGCACTGTGGTACAGGGTATTGTGTCGTTGTGCATATGTATGTAACAGGCAAAAATAATCGAGATAGACCCATGGTTCCTTTTGTGAATATGCATAGAATCACTTTCTGAGTCGATATATGCATGTCCGTCCGTCCATGTATTTTTGTTAACAAAGTACAGATCGCATTTATGATCCGATTTGTATGAAATTTGGCATAGTTTCGTCCGATTTCATGTAAATAGTGCACCAAACTCCCAATAGTGGTCCGACTAAAGCAATATTTTGCACAGAGTACTGAATTAGGTCCCGACTGATGTATGAGAAATTTTATTGGAATCGGTTCAAATTTATATCTAAATATGCTATATATAGTTTCGTCCGATTTTATGTAAATGGAGAAACATACTGCCAATATTTATCCGATTGAGACAAAATTTTCCACCGCGTACTAAATTAGGTCATTGATGAATGCGAAGTTTTGTTGAAATCGGTTCAGATTTAGATATAGCTCCCATATATAGTTTCGTCCGATTTAAGGTAAATTGTGCACCAAACTCCCAATATTGGTCCGATTGAAGCAAAATTTTGCACAGAGTACTGAATTAGGTCCTGACTGATGTATGCGAAATGTCTATATCTACAGGATATTGTAGATATTAACATGTCTTGCATGTACCCATAGTGGTGAAGGGTATTATATAGTCGGCCCCGTCCGACTTTTGAACTTTCCTTACTGGTTTATTATGTTTTTCCATTTAGTTGAGCGTGAATCCTGAAAATAGTAATTAGGATTACTATTGGAGGGCAGGATTGAGGTAGCTTTAAAATTTGTAATGGAATGTAAAGCTGAGATATATGGGGGTAGTTGTAAAAATGCATACTTATGTGTAGTAAACTGTACTAAATTTAGTACAATTTGATTTT